AAATGCATATAAACTCCAAAAGCCCGGCTAATTACCCGCAGCAAACAGAGAAAGTGCAAACGAGTTACCCAGGAGCGCACAAAAGCGATAAAATGTGTTCACTCTTTTCACTCTGGTCACCTCAGTTTTCGTCCTAGGTCTTTCATTTTGATATCAATGGGTTTGCAATAGAATTCTCTAGAAGAATATTAGCATATAAAATAAAAAACCAGGTCACGCTCCACCCGCCGACGAGTTGAAGACGGGCCATGCGTTAGCCGCGAGTGAGCGCCCAGACGCCTTCCAGCTACACTCCCAATTCCTGCCCACAAATGTTTATTATTTAGTATTTTAGTATATTTAGTATTATAGTTTAGTATTTTTTGTGTAGTAGTTGTACATCACATAAGCATTGTAGATAGCCATTTGCACAAAATAGAAGGTCATTTTCTTCGTCCATTTGTGAGTTTTCCTTATGAAGTGATAATATTTGATCATTTGGTCAAAGTGATCAACACCTTTCATGTTTGTATTGTAGTCACAGATTGCATTCGGCTTGTTGACAGTTACCAAACAGTCCCCCAAAAATCGGATAAAAACCTGATTTTTGGCAATTATTTTAGTGGACGACGCAGCATTGCATCATCCCCGAGATTACCGACAGTAAACGGTTGACACAATGCTGCGTCATGCCCAGACTAAAGTGTTAAGGCTAGCCAGCCTGCAGTTTATCTCCGTGCCCATGATGTTCGTAAGTTTGCTGCTCTTGCTGTCGTCTTTGGCAGTGTTTAGCCAAATGTCCTGGGCTGACATTTGGACACGGGGCTTTTGGAGGTCAAACAGGGTCCTGGCTGCTTGTTACCTCGTGAACGTTCCGGGGCCCAATCGGGCCTCTGTCGCTTTTGGTCGGCAGTTGCAGCCAGTTGTCTCGACTTCGAGTTGAGGAGTGAGCAGCGACCGCCTCCCGGGTAAGTCCCTCTTGGTTTCCTCTGTGGGTAGTTAGCTCCGGGAAACTGATGGCCCCCCCCCCCCAGAAAACCAGCGTTGAATGTAATAAACGCCATATTCTGGGTGTGAATGGCATGGGCACGGGAATAGACCGCAGGCTGGCTGGACCGAATAATCCTGAGGACAACCAGGGAGACCTGCGCCCTGGAATAGGGAAGAAGGGAAACAGGGTCAACCCAAAGCGCGTCCTCTGCTACAGAGGCCGTGGTGCACAAATAACGGCAAAGAGCCACAAATGGACACAAAACATGATGCACCCCCAACAGAACCATCCAAGCATCAACAACCCTAGGACCCCTTCGGAAAGCAGCAGACTCATTCTTCGCCAGAAAAGGAGGAGACTGCTGCAAACAAAGAAACGACCACCAGGACTGAAAGAGCAGAAACCCCTGCGCTGGAGGAGAGCATGAAGCTCTCCGACGGGACCCCTAGAGGCCAATGCCAACAAGGAAAGAGCTGTAGAAAAACAGTCCTGAACCGAGGGGGGGCAACCACAACCCGAGAGAAGAGAGGAAAGAGAGCACCCGGTGCATCGACCAGGATGGCTCAGGCGGCGCACGAGCAGGCCGGAGGTAAAACAATGCCCGAGAAAGCTTATGGATCGGAGCAGAAGTGACATCCACCCCAAATGCAAGCTGCAGCGGCTCTGCCAGCACCACTCAGTACAAGGTGACAGCATTTGGCATAAGATGATGGTCCTGAAACAACCAAGAGAAAAGGAACAAAACAACCCGACCAGAAATCGAAGACAACCTATGAAGATACAGAGTACTGAAAGGACCGCCAGGAAATTTCATACTTCCATTGAGATGAAACTCGAAGGTGGGACACCATCAACTAAGCCACCTTATTACCATACAAGTGGTGATAAACACGCATCAGAAAGACCAGATGCGAAGAGCAGAGAAGATCGAACCAGCCACGTACTGTAATGGACCAATCTGCTGAAAGAGGTGGAGCCGCAGGAAGACCCTCGGGTTCAGACATCGAGCAAGAAGTGCCTGAAACCAGGCTGGGCCAGCCACCGAAGAGCCAACAGGAATATTCTCCCCTGGTAAGTGTCTCCGAGCTAGCCAGGACCTGGAGCAACAACTGAACTGGTGGGAAGAGGTACAGGTAACCCCAACTCGACCAGTCCAACTGAAAGGCATCGACCCTGACAGCCTCGCGGTATGGGAAGGGTGCCACATACACTGGAAGATGCCTCGACCACGCCAATACGTACAGGTCCTCCACTAGGTGCCCGTACGTCGGCAGAGCCAACTGAACGAGTTGGAGTCGACCGTCCATTCCATGGATAGGGGAATGAACCAAGACAGGTTATCCGCCAGGACATTTGACACCCCCTGAACGTGAACCGCCAGGAGAGCCAAACCCTGAGAACTCAGCAGGGCGCCTGGCAGCTGAGTGGACAGCTCTTCGGATTCATAGTCCTGAGGTTCCGGGTTTGATCCCCGGTGGAGGTGGAGACAAATGGGCAAAAAGTTTCTTTTACCCTGATACCCCTGTTACCTAACAGTAAATAGGTACCTGGGAGTTAGACAGCTGCTACCGGTTGCTTCCTGGGGGTGTGTAGCAAAAAGGTGGCCTGGTCGAGGAACAGGACGCGGGGACGCTTAGCCCCGAAATCGTCTCAAGATAACTTCAGCAGACGAGTCACCTGAAGCGACCAGCCCCAAACAGCCAAGGACTGCATTGAAGCCCCGCGGTTCAGACAATGAACCACCAGGGAGCAGTCCAAATAGAGCCGGATCGTTGCTCCACGAGCAACACGAACCCTCTGAAGCGAATGCCACACCGCTGCGAACTCCTGCGCTGTGCTGTGAGCCTGATGGAAGGACGGACCCCACTGACTCTAGCCGGCCTGGTGAGCACTGGTCACAAAACCCCAGCCGAGAGACGAGGCATCTGTGAACACATCAAGCGAGGGCTCGGGGAGGCCCCAGGGCACAGAGCCCCGAAAAACTCTCAGAGGAAGTCGGCGACGCAGCAGCTGATGCAAGGCTTCCGGGATCTGAACCCAGCGATCATGAGAGCGGCGGAAGAGAAGCCCCCGAAGAAACCAGAACAGCCGCCGAAGCCTGAACCGACCCAAAGAACTCAAGGGAACTTGGAATCGAACCCTATGGAAGAGTTGAACCAGGGAGGGGGGATAGGAAAACCCCTCCCCATGTAACAACATAACAACAAGCCCCGCACCGAGGGTACCAAACACCCAAGCAGGGTCAATTCCCCCCCCCCCCCCCAAGTCAACTCCTCCCCAGCCCCGGAATCCTCCATGTCAGGACCCGGGGCTGAGCCGTCCTCCAAACACTCTGCCTCTGGAGAAAAAGCAGTGTCCACTGGAAAAGCAGTGATGAAGGAGGGGCCCGCTGGCATGACCTAAAAGCTCCAGCAGGAGGAACAGGCTTGAATGCCTCCACCGCTGCTCCGGAAGGGGCAGTTCCCGAAGCCGCCCGAGTCTCACTACCAGTATAATCAAAGCGGGGCAGCTGCGGGGCATCTGGAAAGGCAACCAACCTCACACATTGCTGCAACCTAAACCTTGCATGCAACACTAAAGCTGCCTGCACCCAATTATCAGTCTCAGTGGACTGGGTGAATGGAGTACAGTACAAAGAACACCACTCACAGGACTCCGGGTCAGAGGTATCACTGACCCAACAGGGAGCATGGCGGAGACCGACATTAAGTGTCGCCGAGACAATGGGACAGAACAACCTTCAAACCTGCACAAGGCAAGGTGGGACTCAGAGGTCTCCTCCATTGGACCACTGAGCCCCAATGGGAGTTTCCAGGGCCCTTAGGCTGACTGCTAAAGGAAGCCCAGGCGAGATACTGCTAACCGGTTATCCCAGAGCTACCAAGCAAACAAACTAAAAGCTGAACCCCTGCAACGTGTGCAAGCACGGGGATCTAGTGGAGGGCCAATAAAATCATACAAGTGGTCCTACTGCCACACCAGGCAGACCCCCACCAAGCAAAACAAAACAAAAGCAAAAGAAAAACACCGCAAAAGCACAATATCTCCAGGTGAACAGAACCGGTCGCCATGCGTATATCGAACAGCTGCACAGTACCATGCGCCCTAGCCAGCGACGAAACTATCTCCTACCCAAGGGCAAGCAGGAGTAAGAACCACCCCAGCTGAACCCCAAGGGCGGGCAATCACCAAGCAGTGACAGAACCACACGGAGGTAGCTGCTCCTGAATGGCTCAAGGAAGATAACCCTGAACCGCAAAGGCAGTACTTATGGGGCACCTAGGGAAGGTAGCCCTAGGCGCATGCAGCCCTAGTACTCTTGTGTTACTCCTGGCTCACACACCACCAACACAGAGCAACAACACCGCTAAGCAGCACTGCGCAAAGAGTGGAGCCAGAGCAATCGACTGTTCACCATCACAACAGCCTCTTGAACTAAGGAGAGTTGCCGGCATGGCGGTCTGGGACCCCCCATCCCCCTCCCGGAGAGGGGGGCTGTGCAGACGGAAGTGCGGCAGTTATAGTGACGTCATGTTTGTTTTCCTTGTTTTTGATTGGGGAGTTCTGTTTGCTAGTTCAGCTTTCGGTTTGCAATTTTTGACCAGCAGTAGTTTGTTTTAGAATTTCTACCTCTCTAGATGCCTGATCTGAAAGATAGCAGATAAAGACTGCTTCCAATTACACGGGGGGTGTCTTTAGGCCATTGCTTCTTGTGCCACTCTTGAGGGGGCCAGGTTTTGGCTCTGGTCTCCGGTAGGCCTAGAACTCCTTTGATTGGCTGTTGCCACGGTCTAATATATACACATCAGCCCGGTATAGCTCCAGGGAGCCGAAGGGGCTTTCCACAGAAAATCAGGATATTTTTACCAAAGCAACTTATGCCATGATTGTTTTTTAATTTGTCTTCAGCAGATTAGCTTTTCTGTTCAGATTTACAAACTAGAGTAAATGTGTTTATACCATTACGGTAATTTAAAGAGCCTATAATAAATTATTTATGCTAATAAACATCTTTTCATCTCTGTTGCAGGAAGAAACCAAGCAAGCTCAGTTTTTGTCACTAGCTATTGTTTACTTTATTTCTGTGCTGATGGTTTCAAAATACAGAGATATTCTTGAACCTCCGACCAACCCGCCTTCCTCACCGCCACCGCCACCACAGGTTGCTCACACCAATGGTGCGTTTACGCAGCATCATTTCTCAGGTGTGTTGTCATCTATAAAATGTCACCTTTTTGTATGAACATCTGAAAAAACGTGTGCATTTCATATAATGTGACAAATACTGTACAGTTTAGAGGCAAATTAAATTGTTCTCTGGAATTATATTTCACAACTAAAATTTTTTAAGTAACATGCTAACTTTTGCCTGTAAAGTTTATTCATTTTTTGCCATTTGATAAATTATTTTTGTTTAAACATTTACGTTTTCTTTAAACTTTCAAAAAATATAATTTGAATGTTAACTTCAAAAAAATATACAGTATACAATGGCTTGGATCAACAATTATAGAAAAATTCAGTTAAGATGAAATTGGTAGATAGAGGAAGTAATTTCATATAAATAAGAAAACATATCTTGTAAGTTTTTAAGGTATATGAGTAGCCCCCTTTAAAACTCTGTAGACACAGAAATTAAAAGAATAAGGATGCTGAAAAGAATAAGTAATTTATGAATGAGTATGGTATGAGGGACCAGAGATTATTAGATTGTTGGTAAGATGCTGGTGAAAGAAAATTAAATTTTTGGGTAATCACTAGATATAATATAAATTAGGAAATAGAGATAAAGATGGTGATAACAGAAATAGATTTATTATGTTCCTAAAAAGACTTTCTGGCATGATAAATTCTCATAAAATTTGTATACTGGGATACCAGTGAGTGAACTGATATCAGTAAAGTTTATTGCAGGACATGAAACCGACATGACATGATACAAGACGTGAAACCGACATGAAATACTGTAGAATAATAGTGGTACAGGCATTATTGTATATAAATGAAGGTGTGAATGTGAGGAATGATATGTAATTTGTTTCTGGGATTGCTTCCTCAAGCTTATGCAGTGGTGCTTCAGGACCTATACCGTCTTAACAGGTAATCTGATACATTGCCTATAATCAGTGCTTTCATTTTTCTGTCAAAATATTTGTCATCCGTGTCAGTTGTCTGGAGACCACCTCTCTTATATGTTCTAGATACCAGAACAGTCATTTATGTACGATTGTCAACAGCTTTTTTATTGCTCTCTCTCTTTTGTAGGATCTCTATGGGTCTATCATGAAAGCTAAATAAATTTATAACATAGGATCCTCTAGTACCAAAGCCATAATGTTTGTCTATTAATGTCATTTCTTTTAATTATTTAACAACCACACTTGTCTGTGATACAAGTCCATAATTTAGAGGGTATTTCCTTTTACCATTTGTTTAGATTGGAACTATATTTGGCATTTTCCATATGTATGCTAGGTTTCCTGTTTCCTAAGGAAGTTTGAAAATGATTTGTAATGGAATGGTAAGCTTGGATGCACATTCCTTCAAAAACCAAGGTGAAACATCATTTTCAAGTAATACTTCATTTGCTTCTTGAGCAGTTTTGTGTTTGTCTGAAATTATTTTGCACAGTCACACTTCAGAACTGTTCATTTAGTGTTTCACAAATTTAACTTTCAGTCTCTTTGAAGCTGTTTCATATTCTTAAACTCTAGATTTTATATTTTACATTTTATTTGTTTCTTATGAGTTTTGTTAAACACATGTCTAGGCTGGGTTTTGTTTCACCTGTACATGTGTCTGCTATCCCTTTCTCAAAGTTTCTGTCCTCTTTTACCTATTTTTGTACAGTTGGTTTCTATTTTTTTATATTGCTGGTGTGAGAAAATTAGTTTGAGCTATGAGGAAGATTCTCTTGCCATTGCTGGTGTGTTAGTAGGTTAGGCCTCGTACTCTCGATTTTATTTTATTTTTTTATTTTGCTCTTTGGGCCTTTTACAATTTCACTTAAACCAACCATGTTTTATAGTTCTGCATCTATGTTTTGGTATAAATTTGTTGGTTCCATCAACATATATCTCGCAACATTTTTTGTATCTCATTTACAGATTTGCCTAACAGCAAACCTTTCCAGTCAAATCCATTTAAGAACTTAAAATGTTCTCCATAATGTCCTCTTGAAATTGAGTTTCTCTGCTCTTCCTTTCCCCAGTCTCTTTTTAGATTACAACTTTTTGCATATTATATTTCTAAGAGAGAGAGTTTGTGTGGGGAAGGTATGTGGGAGAAGGGCTTTGAGGGGGATGTGGATGTCGGTGGAGAAAGAGCGAGAGAGAATGATGAAGCGATTGAATAAGTAGATTAAACTAGACAGCAATTTTTTGTCTTTTGATGAATGCTGTTGACAATCATTTCTAAATTATGACACTTTATATTTAAAGATAATTTAAATTGTCCTACATCAGATTTTCTTGATACAGAAAATGCAACTATATATAATGGAACGGAAAATAACGAAGAGAAGGTTCCGGAGATAAACATAATAAATCTTAGAGATACAGATACAGCTCAGGTATTAAACAAAGATAAGAACAAAACAGAAAAGGATGAAGAGGAGAAAGAGAAGGCTGCCATTTTGCCCACTGATTTGCCAACCACTGTTTCTGCTGTAGTTGGCAAGGATTTGAAGCAATTGAATGATCTTGAAACCTCATCAGTACCCTCTGTAACTCTTCCAACTTTGACCTTGTCTGTATCACAGTCAAATCTCAAACAGAAACACACTAAAGACTCTGCACAAACATCCTCACCTGTTCAGCAAGATGAGTCTGTGTGTGTAAGTACTGAGAAGGATCAATCTGTAAGTGAAGTAGGTTTTACACACAGTGGAAAGGATACTTCACAGTCCACAAAAAAGGGAGATCCCATTCTTCCTGCATTTTATCAAACACTAGATCAAAAATTTATGCCAGGAAATTCTTTGGCTAGAATATTTTCAAAATCTAAAGAGAAGAATTGGAAGGTTTCATTCTTTGGGAATCACGGAAAGTTTCAAAAGAAGGAACGAAGGCAGTCCTCTGTAGTAAAAGGCTCTCATGAAGGTCCAGCTGTCAAGAAGTACAAAAATTTGGAAGGTACTTTGTAGAAATATGGAGTCACGTAGAAGCATTGAACTGTTTTAGCACCTACTCTGTCTGCTGTAATATTCTAGTACATGTCGTGAGAATTACACTGAATAATCGTTGTTTTAACTTTCACAGTTGTGTTTATATATACAGTATTTGTGCCTTCAGTATGTATATCGATGTTAATTTGGCTTTTTATTGATTTTCTTCCAGCTTTAACACCCTTAAAAGCATATTCTTGCCAACCAGATGTTGTAACATTTGTTATTTATTAGGAAACCTTCTATTTTTACACGTAGTACAGTACTGTAAATAGCAACCAGGTGATTAAGTGTGCTTATGATCTTTATTGCTTTCTTCTGTCTAATATTAAGCTATATCTGGGTTATTGTACTTAGATGCTCCCTAAGGCAAGGGTCACCTTTGGTACCATAGAAGGGCCCCATTACAGTCAGGGCAGGGGGACATATCGCACCAGTGCAAGCTTTTTGAAACGTTCATGTTGGGTCAGGTGACTAGTACACCTGTTCATGTACATACTAGTACACCTGTTCATGTATTGAACAGGTGACTAGTATGTCGGATCATACTAGTGCTTCTGGGGTAATTAAAAAATGCCCAATCCATCCCAGAGTGACATCAGAAACGTTATTCATAAATGTTGCAAACCCTTCCTGGGATCACGAGGACAGCAGCAGAGGGCTCTTGTAATCCAACAGTTTCCAACCTGGCCTTTCCACCTGTCTAGTGGCAGGTTCAGATGGATTCAATAAAGTGCATTTTTTTCATTCTTAGAAACTTATTTTTCACTATTTTTACAAAATTATTGAAAATATAACAATAATAAAATAATAATTCAATCAATAATAGAATTTATCAATAGTAAAATAATAATTTAAATATAAAACCTCCTTTCCTCTTCCTTACTTAAAGTATGTGTACGTTAATTAACCACTGCGCTGCACTGCCTTAAAATACAGTGGAACCTCGATTGATGAGCGGCTCCAGTTACGAGCATTTCAAGTAACGAGCAAGCCACTCGCAGAAAGTATGTCTCGACTGACGAGCTTTCGCTCGATTAACACGTGTTTCTGCTGGTTCTCGGATATCTCCGAAGACAGTTTTGTTATTGTTTCAAAAGACGAGTTTTCCACATGACGAGCTCGGTGCCAGAACAGATTAAACTCATTAATCAAGGCGCCACTGTATGACACAAATATGACACATCTGTGGTGCGCTGAAAAGTAATTCTTCGCAAAAAAAAAAAAATCTTTTCAAAATTATTAAATACCCTCCCCTGATCACATATATGTTGAAAATATTGTACAAATGTACTTACTTTGGCCACAGTAGTGTCCAGAAAATGATGAGTGACGTCACAGCTTGGTGGTCACCCGTGGCGTAGACTCCTGAAGGCAGTCGCGTGCCAGATTCAACAGGCGAGAGTTGCCACGAATATTTTTATGTTCATTTTTCCTGCACAAATACAAATGAATTTCTTTTGTTTTTTTTCTGGCTAATCTTATGTATATTGAGCAGGTTTACAATAATATGGCATTAGAACATCTGTACTGTTCAAAGAAACTGTTACATGTATCACAAACATTGTTCATATTTTCTATATTTCATGTTAAATTATTACAATAATAATTATGTACATGTAATAATTATTACAACTTGTTTACACACTGTACATTATCACAGACTATATACATCACCTATCAACACACTTAGAACTGCACGAGTGTGTGATAGTGACTGAAGCAGTCAGTGTGACACAAGGGAACTTTGCATTCAATGCACCAAGTGCAGATGGATCTTCGCTTCTGTTCCTTACATTGCGTACAACACAGAAACGTATAACCTTTTCATGTGTGCCTGTGCTTGGCATATAACCAAGCTTGTGTACAGCAAGGTAATTTTCACACTTGAATCTGTCAGGAAGTGCGTGAGACATTGATAAATATGGAATAAATTTATCAACTCACCAGATCAACTAGTGTATTCAGGCACACTGAGAAAACTGAGATAAACAACCTCCTAATAGTGAGGTGGGCATCTCGCTCGTGCATTCAACACACACACACACACACACACACAGTCGGTTAAGTCCGGATCCCCTCTATGCGTGGTGATGTGGGATGCTACCCTCATAAAAACATGCAGGAAATCTACTTTACACACAGACATAAATACACATTCTCTAATACTAAAGTTAACATACATACAGTACTTGCAAACACTGACAGATGAAACATAAAAATTAACATTAACAGAAATAAAGCAAACTGATATTCTAACTTAAACAAAACATTTAGATTAATAACAGTAAAAGCTAGACTTTATATACCAGTCATTACATGATGTTTAAAGCAAGACAAGAGAGAGAATTCAGAAACTTCCATAACATGCAAAACAATCAGGAAGAGCATTGACAAATTTAGGATTCAAATGCTCTAGGTGTGGATGGAATTCAATCCAAGATTGTAAAGGAACTGGCACATGAACTGTGTCTACCATTGAAACTCCTTTTCAGAAAATCTCTGAACCAAGGGCTAGTCCTCTTAGATTCGAAATATGCAAAGTCGTGCTATCTTAAGAAAAAAGCAGAAAGAGCTAATGATCAGTCAGCCTAACCTCACATATGTGCAGGGCCTCGGAGAGAATCTTAAAGGCGGGAATCATTCACTATATCACAGTGCATAGTCTACTAAAATTTTACACAATATGGTTTTGTTACAAATTACTCCTGCCTTACAAACCTTTTCACATATTCAAAATAATAACTAGCTATTCAGACAAAGAAGTTTCAATTGACATAATATACAGTACATGGACTTCTCTGAAGCTTTTGATAAGGTACCACATGAAAGACTGGCAAGGAAATTACAAGCACATGGAGTAAATGATAAAGTACTAGAATGGTTAAAATAAAGAAAGCAAAGGGTTGTTTTAAATGGAAATGAATCTGACTGGAGAAATTAGTTAAGTGATGCACACAGAAATGTTACACAGTTCTATATGGGGCCAAACGTTTTTTTCATATACTGTACATTAATGAAATAGATGAGAATATTACACACTGAATTATCATATTTGCAGCAGACACTATGGTCTATGGTAAAGTAAGAAGCAAAAATTATATTGAGGTCTTATAAAGAGATCAATGTGAACTCCACAAATGATTGAAAGATTGGCAAATCCTCCTTAATATTGAAAAATGCAAAACCTTGCACGTAGGGCATAATAATGCAAAATAATCACAGCTCTCATATCAGCAACACTTCCATGCAGCAGATTGATGAAGAAAAGGATCTGGAGTCAGAATCGATCAGTCACTGAAAGTGGCACAACAAGTGGGAACTGCAATAATAAAAAATGTCAACCAAACCCTAGGAACAGTCTAATGAGCTTTTGACCTCAAAGAAAAGAAAGCATTTATTCAACTGTACAAATATCTGGTGGAACCCCATTTGGAATATTGTATCCAAGTATTTAGGCTTAATCTTCAGAAGGACAAATCTGCTTTGGAGAAATTACAACACGGTATGACACGAATAGTTGAGGGCCACAGGACTAACAACACTGCAAACCAGATATGATAGGGTTTGCATCATACTCTATCTCATCAAACTTTTAAAATACTGAATAAGTTGGAGGATATTCATCCAGACTACTTCTTTAAAAGGTCAAATGTAACAGAGAATGGACAACAGCTTCAAGAGTTGGATCTTTATGAACCAGCTTTGAATCAGTGGTTTTCCTCCAACATTGCTTCGTGGTCCCTGGTAGGCTGAACTCCATAGACTAATGCCCCGGTCTAATACAGTGGTACCTTTGTTCACGATTGTAATCCATTCCCAGAGACACGTCATCATCCAAAAATTTGTTCATCCAAAATGAATTTTCCCATAAGAAATAATGTAAATTGAATTAATCCATTCCACACTCCAAAAAATATTAACTTAAAAATACATTTTATACAGAATACTACTCATATTTTTCATACACAAAACAATCAGGTATAATATAAACCATAAATATAATAAGTGAACATTTAACTGCACCTTATCTTTACTGAGGACTCTTATTGGCGTATGGAAGACATGGGGAGGGAGGGAGGGAGGAGCAGTGTTCGTGAATGGAGAGTGAGAGTTGAGACCGTCCAATGCTTGCGCATTCATATCTGCATCACTGGTTCCAATTTTCCTTTCAAACATTTCACTGCCTCTTATGTGGCAGCCAGTCAGAACCAGTCACTTAGTCACAAGTCAGTCATTCATTTCAAGCATTCACAAGCATTCACAGTTGTGGTAGCAACCGGTTAGGCATTTACAGTCATTTATGCATTTACAGTCATTTATGCATTTACAGTCATTTATGCATTTACAGTCATTTATGCATTTACAGTCATTCAGACATTTACAGTCAATCAGATATTTACAGTCAATCAGGCTTTCACAGTCAGTAAACAACAAGAGTTTAATATCAGACAGCAGTCTGAGGCAGTCTGCCTCCGATTCACTTACTTACTCACTTAATCCTAAGTTCCCCGGAATACGACCTCCGCGAAGAATCGTTTAACAACCAGGTACCTATTTTACTGTTGAGTTAAACAGAGGCTACAGTAAGGATTTGCGCCCAGTAAATCCTCCCCGGCCAGGATACGAACCCAGGACAAAGCACTCGCAGAACGCCAGGCCAGCGTCTTACCACTATGCCACGGAGACTACCAAACTTTAAACTTCTTTTAAAGTTTGCAGAAGACTGCCAAACTTCTTTTAACTTTAAAAGAATGAGTTTTGTAACTTGATATTTGTTGAATTAACTGATGTCTACTGTATTGATGTGAAAGTATTTATAAGTTGAAGTTGAATAGTGAAGTGTTTAAAGTCTCTTATGGAATTAACTTTTCAAATAGAGGGATGGTGTACACTTGACACACACACACACACACACACACACACACACATGCCTTGTGCAGCCCAAATGTGAGGCAAAACTAAATGTTTTGTCTGTTCTGTTATGCTTATACAGTATATTATAATTTTTAGTTGGAGTTACTGTATCTGTATTATCTACTATAGTATTCAATTACCACGAAATTATAATAAAAGCTCTTTTACTGAAGCAACATCATTTATAAATCTATACTTAGTAATTTGAATTTAAATTTGGGCAGTCCTGTTCCTCAAGAATTCATCCCCATCCAGAAAATCCCCATAACAGTGCAAATGCTCTTACTAACAGTTTTAAATACAGTATCTTGAAATATTAATGTCATGTTACTCATATTTTTCTTAGGTACTGAACGCACTGGAGAGGTTGACGAAGATGGAGAATATGAAGTTATTGTTGTAGATCAACACAATTCCTCAATCCTAGCATCTGATCATTGTTCTACTGCCTCCTCTGGTCCACCATCTCTTAAAGTTAGTATTTTAATCTTTGCATGTCATTCTCATCATTATTCACTTTCAGTGTATGTATTATAAATGTTGCATATTTTGATATTCACTTGGGGCTTTATGAAATACACTAAATCTTCATTTTAATGTAATAATTGAGTCTATGACTTGTAAAAGTATGACTTTGCAAAGTTAATTTAGTAGGTAGTGACTAGTATGCATTTGTGAGCTGTACCATTTGGTTGCATACTTAGGCAATGTCCCCATCTTCCAAAGACATAATCAAGCAACAATCCTGGTTGACAGTCATTTGCAAATGCTCCTGCTGAGCTATAAGTGGGGGGAAAAGATTTAAGTTTTAAATCCAGGAAAAAGATTTTAAAAAATTTAAGGTTTAAGTTTCTCAATCCAGCCAGGATTGACCTACATAATGTTCATGTATCTACGCTCATAAACATCAACTGTGCAATACTTGTCCTTTAAGAGACTACCAAGCATTGCACTGCTAATTGTTAGTTGACTGACCTGTCCACTATCCCAGACTGACACCAGATGTCAGCATCAATATTATCACCAGTGCCAAGGAGCTGCCCACTTCACCTGGCTTTCCACATTTCATGTACTGCAGATCTATGTTACTGTATTAACTAGATGCCTGTGTGTGTTTGGATATTCTGTTGTTTATATTTCTTGAATTTTCACCACCTTGCATTGCAGAGCTAACTTCTCTGTCCTGGTTCAATTTGTTCCTCAGCTGTGGTCATTCTCTATTTGAGTTAACTACTACCTTTGATGTTTCTTTTGAATTGATCATGAACCTCAAGATTATTGCCGTGCACTCACATCTGCGACATTCAGTCACCATGTCACTCAAGTAATTACATAATTCATTCTGATTATTCTGGTCTGTCTTTATTGAATTATGTGGCTTTTATCTCGGGTACAGGTCCTGGACCTGTTTTAGGTTTTTTACCTAAATTTTGATTTAATAAATTTAAACCACTCCCCTGTGTTAGCATTTGCAAATTGACATGAAGCTGAGCTTGCATATGGTTGGTGCTCAATTTGGGGGGGTTATTCTGCATGTGTCCAGACAGAGGCCTGGTAGCATAATAGGTGTCTCTTTGATAACAGAGTCGAAGAGCACTTTATTAAATTCAGTGCTAGACTTTTCTCTAGCAGGTTGTCCTTACCGTTACTGGCATTTCTCCTTCAGCCAGATCGAGCCTCAGTCTTAACAAGAGATAATATATATACAGTGGTGTCCTGGTTAACGAATTTAATCCGTTCCAGCACTGAGCTCGTCATGTGAAACACTCATCTTGCGAAACAACAACAACACTGTCGTTGGAGATGTCCGAGAACCAGCGGGAACGCTAGGAAGCACCATGTAGTTGTCTCGTTAACCGAGCGGAAGCTCGTCAATCGAGATCAATTTTCTGCGAGTGGCTCGCTTGTTACCTGAAATGCTCGTAGATGAAGCCGCTCGTCACCCAAAGGTTCCAATGTATATATATATTTTCTTGGGGGGAGCCTCTTCAGCTCCCTGGAGCTTATCCAGGCTGATATGGAACTATTAGACTTTGGCATCAGTCAGTGTTAATGGAGTTCTTAGGCCTACCGGGGACCACGAGCCAGAACCTGGCCCCCTCAGAGAGACATGAGAGGCAATTGCCTATAGAAATGCATGTGTGATTTGGAGCATTCTATGTCTGCCATCGACCAGGTCAGGCACCCAGAATGGTAAGCATCCCAAAACAAACCCCTATTCTGGTTGAAACTACAACTAAAAGTCAAACGAGTGGACAGAACTCCCCAAAGAAAAACTGGTAAACAAGCATGACGTCACCACGGAGCTGCGCAGATGGAGGGGAAAGGGGGAGCCCCAAACCCCTCGCGCTGGCGACCCACACCTTCAGTTATCGGCTGATGTGTTTGAGGCTTGGTCGTGTGACTCCGGCTCCTGTTTCTTGTCTCAATGCTGGGCCTTGTGTTTAGTGCTGTCTTCAGGGTGATGCATGAGCTGGGAGTAATCCTCACTGGTACTCAGACTGCATGAGCTTAGGGTTCCCTTCCCTAAGTGCCCCTGTAAATACTGTTCATGGGGCTTGGGGTTATCTTCCACAAGTCACCTTAGGGTGTACCTCTGTTGGTCTTTTGCTGCTCGGTAATTGACCGCCCTGAGTGGGCTGGGGGATTTCTTCCTCCCTTGTTTTCCTTAAAGTAAGGGGTAGTTTGCACTGATAGGGGCACGGGGTACTGCACAGCTAGTTATCACCTATTATAGTGACCGGCTCTGTTCCACCTGGGTACGTTGTCCGCCTGTGAGGTTTTTCTTTTTTGTTTTCCTCCCTGGTGGGGGGTCTGCCTTTTGGTTCGTTGCCCTCTGTCTCTGACTTAGGTTTTATGTATGTGTGTTTCTGGGTGGTATCCTCTGCTATGCCCCCATGAGTGGACACATCCCGGGGGTTCAGCTTTTAGCAGTTTTGATTGGTAGACTTGGGCGCCGGTTCACAGTACCCTACCTGGGCTTACCCTTAGCAATACCACTTTAGGGGCCCTGGGAAACCCTGTGGGTGTGCAAGGGATCCTATAGATGCGACCCCTGGGTCCTCTCTTGCTTTGTGACAGTTTGAGGGTTGCTCTGTCCCCTTGTCTCAGGGTGACTCACTATTTTTGCCTCCGTCATGCTGCCAGTTGGGTTGGTGACACCTTCGACCCAGAGTCCAGCAAGAATTGTTGCTTGTTTGTGACTCAATTCACCCAGTCCACTGATGTCTTTATACAGGTGCAGGTGGCTCAGGCGTTGCATGCTAGATTTATGTTGCTGCAATGCGCTAGGTTGCTTGCTGCCCCGAAAGCCCCGAGGCTGCCCCGTTTTGCATTTAGGGACCCAAACTTTGTGGTGTTGGTCGCTTCGACCTTGGTTCAATACGCACCCCCTTGTTCTTCCCTTGCTGTGGTTCATTTTGGTTACCCTCCCCCTGCTTCCAGCTCTGAAGCGACTGAGGGCTTCGGGGTCAGGGCAGAGTTTAGAAGGTTCTGAGACTCAGGCAGTTTTGGGGGTTGCCCCTTCTGGGGGGGACGATGGAGGCATTCGAGTCGGTTCCTCCAGCCGTGGTGATGTGGTTTGACCAGTGTGGCCCCCTTCCTTCCTGCCTTTCCATTTACCCCGGCTTTTTCTTGTGAGACCAGGGCTTCGGAAGACGACTTGGTCCAGAGTCCTAATATGGAAGTTTTCAAGGTTGGGGAGGGGTTGACTTGAGGGCCTTTGGTCCCATTGGGCCTCGCCTGGGTTTTCCTATCCACCGAGTAGGATTTACTGTTACAAGGATTGGGGTTTTCTTTTCCCACTTCTGCATACGAGTTGGTTTGGGCGTCGGCTCCTCCCCGGGTTCGTTTCCGTGTTCCTTCTGGAGGTTTTCGGCTTCCCACATCTCGCCGTCTGAGGTGCGGGAAGCCATTGTGGCATACCTCCTGCGCAACCCGGATTATGCCTCTATAATGGATCCGTCTTCGTTCAGGTTCGGGACTTCATCTCCATACTGGGTTCGTTATGAGGTTCCGGAGTCGTCCTGGCTAGCAGACAACACATCCCTGTGTTGTCGTTGGATGCTTGGACAGCTTTCTATCATACACGCATGCTTGAGTGCCGCAAGGCGTTGATAGAGGTCCAGGTGTACCTGGGGGGCAAATTCGAGCACCTCATTGCGTGTTTATTCCCTGCCCTTCAGCGGGATGTTGGTGTGGTTCAGCTTCACATGCAGATTCCCTCCCTTTCGCTGCACTGGTGGCTGATAACTTGCACGCTCGTGGCCTGCTGGCTTCAGTCTTACGGTTCTTTTCCCTCCTGGAGCTTTCTTCGGATTGGCTTCAGGAGGCTGTGAAGGTGCTTGGGGCTGTTTCTGGGTCTGGTGCCTTGGTTACGGTGGCATGGGCATCGTTTGCACTGCTGCAGCTGTTTGCGCTGATCCTGCGGGATGTGGTGTCAGAGTTATGCACTTCGTGTCTCTCGTGTTGGCAAGTGATGCTCGCTTCCTCATTGGAATCTGCCTGGGCCCTGGCTCTTAGGTTTTTGTCATCATTTTGTCCCTTGCTGTTTGCAAAGTCTGTGGTTGGGCAGTTTCTGAAAGCATCTTCTAGTTGTCGTCCGTTGTCAAACTTGTTGGTCCTTCAGGGGTCCCGAAGGGGGGTTCCACCCGGAAGGATTGTGCCTAGGCTTGGGGTTTCTCTGGTCGTGGTAGGCCGCTGGTGCCAGTTCTGGGTCATTGCAGCCTTCGGGTCTGTCTTCATCTGGTTGGCGCAGTGATTGTTCTGCGCATAAGTCAGGTTCTCATAAGGGGTATCGGCCCTTTCCCGGTTCGCCCCATTGACGGGGTGATGAGGGGAAGCTCACTCTGTTTGCTCACTCCTGGTCTCATGATTCATGGGTTTTTCGGGTCATTTCCGACAGCCTGTGGTGGCAGTGGGTGGCCTCTTCTCCTTTGGGGGGTTCCGGGCTTGTGGGGCGTGGCCCTTCTCCTGCGCTCTGTTGGGTCGTTTTGGAGTGGGAACGCTTGGGCATGGTCAAAACAGCGATGTCCCTCAGGTAGGTTTCCCGTCTGTTCCCAGTCCTGAAATGGGACTGTGGACCTGTTGTTCATTCTAGACTTGTCCTGTCTGATCCCTGGGTCTTTTGCCCCTCTTTTCGGATGCCTACTCTGTCCCAGGTCTGTTGGAGCCGGGCGCTTGGATGGTGTCTCTGAACTTCCGGGACGCGTATTGCCACGTCCCGATTCATCCGAGATTCATAGATTGGCTCGGATTTGTTGTGGGGCATTTCAGTTACCACTTTTGTTGTCTCCCATTTGGGTTGCTCCTCACGTGTTCACACGCCTTACCCAGGTCATAGTGGACTGTCTGCATCTCTTAGATCTTCGGGTGCTGACCTACCTTTATGACTGACTGGACTGGGGTCCCAGCCAGTCCGCATGTCTGCTCACCAGGGATTTGGTTCTTTTCCAGCTTGCCGGGTTCAGCATTTC